CTACTGATTTTTACTGTGTATTACCCTACTGATTTTTACTGTGTATTACCCTACTGATTTTTACTGTGTATTACCCTACTGATTTTTACTGTGTATTACCCTACTGATTTTTCATATCTTCTGTGATGTATCCACAGGGAGTGAAGTTGGCCACTATGGGGAATTTCGTGTTTGCCTTCCTGACACTTCCTGTTCTTCTGTCTCATGTCAACGTGGCTTTCGGAGCAGAGAAAGTCCCCATCCTAAACGTAGCAGTGATCCTCGGGCAAACCCGTTACATCTCGGACCGAGACATAAGAGCTCTGTGGAGCAAGGAGGACCCCATTGATGTAAACGTGGTGACACTGCTGGTGAATGAGACTGACCCCAAAAGCATCATAACTCATGTATGCGACCTGATGTCTGGGACTAAAATTCATGGACTAGTGTTTGGAGATGGCACCGACCAGGAAGCCATTTCCCAGATTTTGGATTTTATTTCATCCCAGACACTGATCCCCATTATGGGAATCCATGGGGGATCTTCTATGATTATGGCAGATAAGGTAAGTGCCAGAGGTTGTGAGCATTATACTTTATTTTTATTGTGCAGGCAAGGCAGAAAACTGTCCCCTGAATTTGGACCAGTAGGATGACGTGAGAAGGGATCAACGATAGTCCCATCCTGGCAGTAACGTCTTACCTTGTTCTGAATGGATTTGAAGAACATATGAACATGTTAACTCAGACTCGGTGGTATGACTACCTTCAGGCAGCCAGAATGTACTGGTAAAATATTTTGACTATTTTTCTGGTTTCCAAACAGAACCAGAGCATATGGAAATAGAACTTATGTACTACTTGTTTTTCTCTGTGGCCTCATTTTTTGTACTTTATGCTGGTATGTATTTTAGTAATGAATTTGAGATAAATGGGCTGTGTCCAGTCTGCTTTATCATAAAGCATAATGGTGCTGTGAAATTTCACTCTCTTCAGAAAGGTGAAATACTATTCTCATATTTGCCTGAATGGACATGCATTGTAACTGGTCAGTGTGCTTTAGTTTAAGCTTGGGGACTGGACAGGTTGTTTTATTTTGGGCCTTTGTACCGTTATTTATATTTTATTGATCCTCCACATTGCTGACAATCCTTTAACAGCAGTAATTTCTAAAATACTTGCATGATTTACTCAGAGTAAGGAGCAGTTATGGGACACACAATTGTGCCACTGCTTAGAATTTTACTTTAATTAACCTGAGCTTCTGAGTTGTGTTGGCATGAGCTGCAATTTAATCACACTGACCAGATATATTTACCTCTTCACAAGGAGTTCCCAACAGGTAGGCTACAAGTGTTCTTCATGGCGCCCCAAGTAAACCAGTGCTTTAAGTGACATTATTTTCACACACTCTGAGCTTATTTAGTTTTTACATAATAGTCAGAAAATGTAGACAACTTTATGAGGTGAAAATGTATTGCAGGATTCCCCAATTCCAGTCCTGGAGGGCCAGTTCACAACACATTTTAGCAGATTTCCCTGCTCAGACAGACCTACTAAACCTGGTAATTGATTTAATGGTAACTGATTAAGGGTGTGTTTTAGCAGGGAAATCTGATCTGCAAACTGTGTTGGATTCCGGTCCTCTAGGACTGGAATTAGGGAACCCTGATACTGTATATTGTCCTTAGGTCAAGACTTAGCTGCAGTGTTGTTGAAGTGAAACGACAGATATGTCTGTAGTATTTAGTTTGTACTTCTTCATGAAATACTTCCTTGATTGTTATGAGGTTCATATTGGGCTTTCATTTCATCATTAGGTTTAGAGATTGTTTGTTTAATTTTTTCTCTTTTTTTTCTTAACAGAAGTACCTGTAGAATGTGTTAGGAGTTGAGGAAGGCATTGACATTTTGAGGAAAGTGAGGAGGAAGTGAAATTATTTGACATTTTATTCATGCTGAAACCATGACCCTCACTATAGGAGACACAGTCAGGTCATAGTAGTCATCACCATCACCCTCATTGGGAGAGGCAGTTATATCCTAGTAGTCATCACTATGACCCTCACCAGGAGAGGAAATCATATTATAGCAGTCATCCTCTTTTCCTTCAGATTTTCAGCAAAAAACATCAATGTGTTATTTAAGTAACGTAAAGAGATTGTTACTCGATTTTCGTCTTGTTGTTGATCCCATGCAGTAGACTATAAGCTCCATATAATGCTTTCAAATTAAGAGCCACATGACTTAGAGCCCATCTCCATTACAACAATCAAACCCTCAGGTTTTCCTGTGGTGATGTGATTGAGTTTTATATCTTTCCTCTCCAAACTTTAACTGAGCTGTATTTTCTACAGCAGTAATTAAAGTGGTGACATCACAGCTTGCTGCTGGACTGAATTTTTGTAAAAGTCTGTTCTTGTCTTATTGTCTTTATTACTAATATAACAAAATGTCGTGCAGTTGTCTGCTGAAGGGAATTTTGTAAACGAGTTTACATGATCAAAGAGACATACAGGGTGTCTCTGTGTTTCTGTTTTCAAATTTTGCAGGAATGTGGCAGCTAGAAATAATTCAAATTAAGCTGTAATAGTTGCCCTTTCAAACTCATAGTATGTACTAGTAATTAGTTCCACAATATGATCCATCGCTTTTATTGATCGGAAGTAAAATTCAGAAAAACAACCTATTTTTATGTTAGGAGGACTGTTTCATAAACCATGGTACATGCACAAAACAAAAAAAAAAAACAAAAAAACAATGCAAACAGACAAACAGATCATGCGTCTTTTAATTTACTTATCCATATTCGTCTCTGTTCTTCATGTTAACAGTAATAAGTGATAACAATAATGTATATTCGAAACAGAAAGTAATTATAATCAGTTAAATTCATAGCACACATTTAAATGCATGGATTTTCTTCCTAGCTAACAGGATTAGACTCTTCTTGGTCCAGCTCCAGTTATGAATACTGTATTTCAAATGGTTGCTAAGTAACAAACTGCTGGGGAGTTCAGATCAATATAACTGTACATGCATGATGAGGATTTACCGTCAGCATTGCCCAAAATGTGTGCGCGTGACATTGTTTGCAGATCAGCCCTTGAAACAATAAAGCTCATTTTTTGGCAACCAAAACTGGAATGCTAAAATCTGACTTAAGAGGTAACTGAAACGAAACGAACAGGAATGGTTTACTGTTTTTGTTTTTTGGTGGAAATGGCCCTTATGAGCTAACAGCAAGATTTTTGCTTTCCAGGTATGGCCTTAATTGATTTTTTTGCCTAATATATATATTTTTTCATGAATAACTGTAATCTTCAGTAAGAATATAAGTATATTTGAATAATTTTATGCAAAATAAGTAATTGATTTAGAGCTTGGTAATTTCTTCGTAATTTATTTAGTTTTATCTAAGGTTTTCAGACCACCAATGTTCTCATCGAGGACTTGTTGAGTGTCTATCAGTGCGTCATTTATTAAGTAACTGCTTATCCAATTGTGGAGCTCTGGATCCAATCCCAGGTAGCAGAAGGTGCTATCACAGAATAAAAAGAATGTACACTAACCTGAAGCGTATGACTTTGGAATGTGGGAGGACGCCAAGAAAGCAGGAGGATACCATCGTGAACACGGGGGAGCGAATACTTACGAAGGACCTGGACCAGAGTGAATCCTGCCACAGAGGAGGCTCAGCTTCCATGGTGCCCCTCTTTGCTCACCACATCGTTTTTAGACAAATTTAGCTTAAGAGGCAAAAGTAAAAACTAAATGTTTAACTAAATGAAACTTCAGGTATTACTGCCCCTATTTCTCCTTATAAATTTGGGTATAAGTAGATTGAATAGCTACCTCCCCCAACCTCAAAAGTTCTTTGTATCAAAAAAACGTGGTGTCCCTTATTCTTCCAGCAACGTTGTTTTAAATTTGTAGACTATGATCCAATAGCTGGGAGAAGTAACGTTACAATACATCCAAATGCAAGCATTGTGTTTTCCATGTGCACTTCTCTCCTGATATCGCCCTTTTTACGCGACAAATGTGGAATGCTGTATGTTTAAAGGGATTGGCAGCACAAGGAACAGAATAAATATTCAATCATGATACCTGATGGAAAATGGAAAACATTTTATTAATTCTTAAAAGAGAGACTGAATTTAAAAAATATGGCATAAATACTTCAATGGAATTCATGAAACACTATCAAGGGAGACTGTTGTGCATACTGTTGTAAACAAAAGCCATATTTTATTTGTATGTGAGCTGTAAAGCTTACAAATGTGCGGAGCAGCCAGTCACCTAATAGCTAATTGACTGTGTTCCATCACTTGCTGTACAAAAGTATGGCTTCCATTTTGAGTAGTTCTCTTCATTTATTAAGCGTTGCTGGGTATTTATTGAAGCACACTCAAGCTTCTAAACCAGCACACCACCTAGTCTATTCTAGTCATCGTGGCAGCGTGGGGAATATAGGAGAGTTTGGCAGTTAGGTCATCTAAGTCAGGAGGCAAAATAAAAGCTATTTTTGTTCTTCTTGACTACGTGACGGCAGATAGGCCGTGCCTGTTTTCATATCACAACAGCTACCATAGCTACTCGCCAAAGAGCTGCTCAGAATCAGAACGCGCTCCGTAACACGATGTGCTATTCGGCAAGTGCCGTGCAAACCGAAATAGATGAAATCCGTGGCACATTTAAATGTGAAGATAAATTGCCTGTCCTGGCAGTAAGCGCCGCTGACTCTCACATGGATCGCCTTGTATTCTCGGCCCAGTGCCGCTCTTTGCCTGTTACTTTAAAGCACTGATACCAGCCCCATATGTTACATAACCGGAAGGTGGAATATCTTAAGAGAGGATGATAGGGGGATCGCTGATGGGTTAAGACATGCTGAAGTATATGCTCTTATATATGAGGAACAGTAATGACAGGCAGTTCTTGTTTTTCTCTTATTTAACAACATTTAATGACAGTTCAATTAGGCTATGGAGTGAATTGAAACGAAATGTAGCATATTATGTATAAAAATGTCATGATGTTTATTATTTTCGTCGCCCACTTTACCCAGTCATTGATTCCATGGTAAAACCGCTGCCACTGGTTGTAGATTTTTTTTTTTCCATTGCAATTTACCTCACTTTGAAACCAGTGCAGTATTATTCCAGGACACCTATTCTGATACATGTAAATGAGCTCTACTTTGTGCATCAAAAGGCAAAGCTTGTTCGCCTGTATTCCCGTGACTGACACAGGGGCTTAAGAGACCTGCATCAGGGAATATTATGCATTCGCCTTAGAGTCTGGAACTGTCGATATAAAGTGTTATTTTTAAGCACACTTGTAATCAACATTTAGCACTTGGTCTCCTCGACAGTTGTCATCATTATCAATCATTCTAATGGGCTGCAATGCTTATTTTCACGTTGCAGATCTTGTAATGTTCAATTGCAAATGTATGCTGATTGCCCATACATTCATGCTACTACTTGTTAGTAGATGCTGTTGTTTGGCAGGAAGTACTTGTTTCTCATCTTCCCATTATCTAGACGACTGTTTACCTGATTCCTATTTGAAAGAACTATCAGATTCATGGGACCAAGTAAATGGAAGGGGGTTTTCACAAGGGTTTCCACTAAATACTGAAAAATATAGACGGGATTTTCCAGAGGATTGGGAGTTCCAGAGGTGCATGTAAAAAAAGCATTTACTGATGGGTATATACACTTTTTACACTAGTGATAGGGGCCCTAAAATATTTGGAACATAACTGGATTGGTCTGGGGTGGGGGCCCAATATGATATGCTCTGATAGGACCCAAAATCTCTAGTGGCATCCCCTGTTAGCGATAGACGTACAATGTAAAATTCTCCATCTTTTCTGCTGTACTGGAGTGCATAACAAGTAAATTCATCACATGATGACAGGAAAATGCAAAGTCTTGACCTATCTTTTATGGTTTGTTAAAACGGCAATACAAAGCTAGTGACATTTCTTCTTACAGCTGTCACCCTTCCTGCACCTATAATGAGAGGTTTTACTTCTTGGGAAAGAGATACGTCTGAATAAGAAAATGAAGGAGCCTGCATGAACAGTCTCCTTTTCTCAGTTCCCCGGGAGATGCCCACTTAGGCGAGTTCTGTCCGCCACACTCGCATACCTGTGTGGGTGGACTGATGTATAAATAACGATGATGTGTACCGGAAGTGGTAGAGCCATGCAGGGTCTACACACAGAGGGGAAAAGCAGCAAAACCGGCATGAAAGCTGTAGGGTGACTCACCACGTTGACACTGTAATATTCGAACCCTACAGCTCAGAGAGGAAACTTGTGTCATGAGAATAGGACAGTTTATGCAATCATGGCAATACAGAGTATTCCTGCTCAGGATTACATCACCGAACCCTAGGCAGCAGGTGCACCCTTACAGGTGTTTCACACAGGTTAAGTATATGCTAAGAACTTCCCAATGGTAAAATCAAAATTTCCTCTCTTGTCAGTGTGATGCACATTGCTCATAATTTTCTGGCTTGTGAACCTTCAGCTGATTTAATTTCCTTTTATTTTCTTTGCTTTTATTTTCTATCTGAATGGTAAAAGTATTTTTTTTTTAATTTCCACTTTATTTCTATGTCTGAAACGGGCAACAGCCTTGGAAATTAAATCGTTTATTATTTTTTTAATTTTTTTTTTTCACCGAGTTTGAGTCAGAGGTGAGTCAAGGGACTCATGGGGCCCTCCAACCCCGCCCCCCCCCAGCATGGTAGCATTTATTATCTTTATTTTACTGTGAAATCTATATTAATAATATCAGCAAAGATAATTAAATAAACACAAGACCTTTATTTTCACGTTTGTGAAAAACAGAATGCACGAATAAAGCAGAATAAAGCAGATTTGTCATTGCAAAGTCCAATTTAGGGGCCCCCTCCCAGCTCAGGGCCCCAGGTCATTGCCTGTCCTGCATCTCCTGTCACTATGCCTCTAAAACCTTATATATAGGTGAAAAATCCTGATTTCACAAACACCCTGTCTGTGGAATAAATGAATTCACATTAGCTTCTATGCCATTAGCCGCATTTGTGCGATGAAGTTTGAAGAACGGCAAACAGCCAGCCGTGGCTGCTGATTTGTGCACACTATACCAAGAGCCCCTTATCCTCTGTATATATTTTTTCTCGCTGTGATAATGATTAATCTGGGCACTGAGCTTTGAGAACCCGCAACGTCTAATGATCTGCAATCAAATAATCAGTTATACACTCGGTGAGCAATAAAAGCAAGATAGATTACTAAAAGGGTCAGCTAGCTGGATGACTCTGTGAGAAGTAGGCCAGAATGAAATAGCTATATAATGCTAGGGAGCAGTACTCAGTGTGAGTCTGAAATGTTATGCTCTGAAATTGTATTCATGAAATCATTTGTCGTATGCCATTTTTAATGTTATTCTTAACGTTTTATTGATTTGATATATAACAGATTTCGATGGCAACTGCAGTACTCATTAAACCAGTATCCATTGCAAAAAACTCAAACATTTTACTGATCTCTTAAGTTTTACAGTCTGTTTCATTTTCTGCCCCATCCTTTATTCTTTCCAGACTTAACACAGTGTGAACTGAGTATTATCATGTTGTATAATATTTTGTGATGTGTTTTAATACCCCCAGCCTAACAGAACACATTTCCTTGTCTCACACTGGAAAATAAATCTCCCTATCAGAGTTCCAGGGGGAAGACCAACTTGTGTACATTAGTGTCTAGAAAAACATTTAGTTAAATTTCCCGTTCCGGAAATACCCTCTGGACCTGCTGGATGCTAATGTTTCCCTAGCAGGTGTTTTCGGCGGCGCTGTCTGGGCAGTCATACTTGCGATCTGGTCTCAGTCACAGTGGGCACTTTGCTCAGACAGCTGTAGCAACTCATTATTTCCCCTTGTCTTTCTCTCAACCCAGCTGAAATGCCCCAGTGTCCAGTTATTTCAGTGTGTGTAATTTTTCATTGCTTCCTTATTCCCAGCGATGAATATGTACTAGTTATTAAAGTTGCCGGGTTTTATGGTACTGCAGTAAATGGTCTCTTTAAGACCTGTGCGGTTCATCACTAAAAAGGAATATCTTCTGTTTTAAGACCCAAAATCAATTAAGAGAAGGGAAAAGGTAGTTAATTGAATAATGTATTAATACAAGCGTTATTTCGTTTGTATGTGAAGTCATTGTGTTAATTTAGACTGGCGTGGTGTTCATAAACTCCATGCCAAATTGTACAGTAGGTCTGTGAATTTGACTAAAGTTGCAAGCCCTTTACGTGTTAATTAGCTAAAGTAATGTTCAAGTGACAGGTCTGTCAGGATCACCGACACCAAATTGAGCAGCCTGTAAACATTAAGTTTCCTTTCATTGCAGTGGACACTGTAATGTGCTATAAGCTGAATCTGTACTCATTGCTATAGTCAGGGCCCTCTGTGCTGCAGGACAGGCTGTTTATCCATCATCAGTACCACACTATGTTCTTTATCATTACAGTATGCCCTATGCTGCCCAACTTATGCATATAGTCAGAAAGCAGTACTTGCAAATTGTGTTTCCGTCAGTTTTGCATTACTGTTGCTCATAAGCTCTTTTCCTGTGAAACCCTCTGCGTTGAACTCTTTATTTTTAATAGAGTGGGGACCTGGGAAACACTAATCTCTTTATACGATTTTCTTTGATCCTGGGCATAAGGACACAAAGCCGTAACTTTTGGTATATATATAGTCTTATTTTTGCAGTCTGCAGCTGAAACCGAATCAATTTCTAACACGATTTACCATGGCTTACATCTTATTACATACACGGAAAATGCCTTTTTAAGGCAACGAGTACTTGATGTTAATTTATTCATATAGATTTACATGTTTGTTTTAGCATAAAGCTGTTTGTAAAGTATATCCATGAAATGCTTGAAGACATCGATAGGGCACAGAGAAGTGATTTGATTATTCATTATTCAGTATGGAGTTCTCTCTAGCTGGGAAAATGGTGTTGATGTTTTGTAGTCATGAACCTGCAGCCCGAGAACATGACACATGCTATTTTAAAACTGAGAAGCAGAGTTGTAAGAAACATGTTTGAACTAAGGATGAGATTTTGTAAGCTGCAGAGTGTCAGGAATGGAGTCAGGTGAATAACACTGATTTTAATAAAAGCTGTTACCTGTTGTACAAAAAAAAGTGGACTGGTGGAAAAGCAAGAGAGTGCTACACGTGACTGCGTTCAAATTTAGCACAAATGATGCATTAAAATAGTGATGTGCCACTATGTGAGATTTAAAAATTGGCTTCGTCATTACAGGGGGAACCACAGTTACTGCATCATGATTTGACTTGTAAGGTTCCAAATTAGAGAATTTGGCAGACGAGGGGTTGCACATTTTTGCAGGATTACCTCACTGCTGTAGCTGTATTGCTTTTGCCCATATAATTACAGAAAGAAAGCCAAATGTAGGTATAATCAGATATAAGTGAGCAGAAGCTGTAGAATGTGAAGAGGGAGGAAATCCTGGCTAAGTGTAGGGTGCTGAAGTAGGGGGTGCTTCAAAAATCAAAATACTCTTAGTAGTGATGCAGAGGGACTCTATGCACTCAGTGGTCTGGTAACTGCAGGTTTGGCATTATTGTTAGAAATACTAATTGACAGCCAAGTTTTGTTACACTGATGTTTATTTTTGCAGACACAACAAGCTGAATGCTTAAACATGAAACTCTTGTAGTTTCAGTTTTACATGTCTTTCTTTAAGATTCCTGAAAAGTGAAAACACATTGCCATTTTGTGCATATATTCAGGCAGTTATGTCTAGTTACAGTATATGCTGACAATTGAGCTGAGGTTACTACGGGCACTTTTGTCTTTGAAAAACACATTAATTTATTGTCATGGTGATGCTGAGTGATTTTTGTCAATTACAGACGTTGTTCAGCTTCTCATATCATCTGAGCTAAGTGAATTTGATAATCTACAGGGAGTTTACGCCTTGCTGCATTGGTCTACCTTCAATTGTCATTGTGAAACATCTCTTAATCGGCTCGGCACTCTGACTCGCACCCATTCTCACAGGCCATGCTCTGCATTACGTTTATTTCCCTGGCTAACTAGTCACTAACACAAGAGAATAACCTTGACCAATAACTGTACCTGATTAATGGCAGGAAGCAGAATGATGTATCTGGGTCTCTAAGAGTAGATAAGGCGATAACCAATTCATGGTGTTGCTTTCTGTGTGGATAGATCTACCAGACTTGCCATCTCTGCTATCATGATGTCAGTGGCTCCTGGCAAGAACATACTCAAGAGAAGTTTTGCTGACTTTTCTCTCTTTCTCTCTCTCTCTCTTTCTTTTTTAAAGCAAATCAGTCCTACGTGCTAAATAATTTATGGACAGCATCCAGTGCTTGTATCGTGAAATGATTTGCCTTTGCTTGTATTTGTCACTAAAGAATAAAGCACAAGGTTGCATAACATGAATGTGAGAAGGGAGTCATATTTCCAAAATGCTAGGACTTTGGCAGGATATTACAAACATGGCTTCATCATGATGGCACATATGAAACAGAAAAGGCAAACATTTCTCTGTACTTCTCAACTTGAATTGTCTAAATATTTGTCACTGTAGCCTGCATCATTAACCCAAAATGGTTGGACTGAAGTACCCTGAACCACATACACTTTAACTAAGAAAAAGAGACTAATTCAGTAAATTGTCCAACAAGCTGCATATATTTGCACAAGAATAAATGCTTTCATGTTCCACACATTATCAGTATCTGAACTGTGTACAGATGCAATTTTATTATTGACATTTATATGATTCATTTTAATTCAAAGTGATTTATAGGGCAGTGCATTGAAGTACAGCTGTGAGTTGGCTCACACAAGGTGAAAAGTGTGAACATTTCTGGAGGTCGAAAACACGGCGTGCAGCAGTGTTCTGGAGGACTTGGAGTGCCCGATGGTGCAGGCAGGTAGACAGGAGGCAGGAAACTGTAAAATGTCATGCGGAGAGATGATCATAGCTTGCACCAACAACTGAGAAGTTCTGCAATTAGAGAAACATACACCCTGTGTGCTCTCTGTTTAGCCTTAGCAGGTGTATCTTAGCTATAATACGGAGTGTGGGGGTCTTCTCCATGTTTATTGGAGTGTAAAGAACAACACACTAATGATCTCCCAATACATCAAGACAAACTATCCTTTGCTCTTCATCTAGTCAATGCCGCAGACTAAAAATAACCAAGGGCTTTATGGGGATTATAAAAACATCATTGTTAATTTTCTGGTCAGATCTTGAAATAACAAGCTTAATTACATACCCAGGAGTAATTTTACTGGTGATGTGGTGGAAGCACACATTTCCGATTCTGTCTGGCTTTATTGTTTTCCAAAACATTGGCTTTCTGAGAAGGAAATGACTGACAATATTGGTAGCTGTTCTCAGTTCACCTGGAATGTTCTGATTGTTGGCACGGCAAAACTTGTCATTATAGTGCTATATATTTATAAACTTCTTTACAGAGTGGCCTTCCTCGAAGAAAGGATGTCGTTACTTTTGAAACATACTGCATTATGTTTTATTTCCATTGATGAACCACTCAGAAAAATCTCTCTGTGTCCAACAGCAATTATGACATCATCCAATAAGAATTTAGCTGAAAACGGGAAGTGAAAGCCAAATAGAAAAATCATCACCATACATTTCGACAATTCAGAAATTCTCATATTCATCAGTTCTTCACAGAAAATGGGACAGCAAATGTTCAGCTTGGCAGCTATATACAGTCAACTGTCCATTTTGTTTCAGTTAAACCCAGTTTCTGAGGTGTGGGCTAATTTGGCAAGTTTATTTAGTTGCATATCGTTACATCTGCTGTAAGAAATTTTGCAAGCTTTTTCACATGAAAATTCTAAAGTGATACATACAGCAATATTATACCAGCTTAGGTTTAATATTACAATATACTAAGCTTTGGTGGGTTGTATGGTGGTGTATCAGTTAGCAGTATATTGGTTACCTCACACCTCTGGCTCCATGCGTGTGGAGTTTGCATGTTCTCCCCATGTCATCCTGGATTATTCCCTGCCCTTGCACCCATATCTTCTGGTATAGGTTCCACATCCCCGTGACCCTAAATAGGACAATTGGTAGCATGAAATGGATGGATGGATGGACTAAAATTTTGGCAGGAAGAGCTGGAATTTGCTGAATTGTAATTGTACATATAGGTCCAAATGTATACTTGTAGTATTCTGTCTATGTTGTTGATTCACTTTGCATTGTAATGACACAAAGTCAAATCATATGCACTTTTTCAATGAGGTGATAAGAGTGCAGACTATATGGATGCTGAGATTGTTAGATTTCAGTACCTACTTCAGAGTTATTAGCATACATCCAAGTGGAAGGTCCTTTAGCTTACACATTTATTGCTATAACAATCCAACCTGCCTATTCAGCAGGTCAGTGCATGAGTGACTTACTTACGGTCATACATTTCTTGCAATTTCATTTCACTGATTCACCTAACTTGCTTACATTTTCACTTTGGAAAGGAACCAAGAATACACTGCAGGAAAATTACACAAACATTGGCTGAATGTCCAAATTCTACAGACTTTTGTGCTGTGGGATGACATTTTAACTAATATTAACATGACCTATGGAACTACAAAGCTATAGTTGCTTCTTTGTTTTACTGTACCTACATTTTAGAATGATGTCTAATGATTACAGTGCACAGTCATATACATACTGTTTATATAAAATTTATGTAGTATCTGTTCAATGTTCAGTACAAGATATTGTATTTTTAACCACTTGAGCTTGGCTTTTTTAAACGTCAAGCTTACGGCATCATTTCTATGAACCCCAAAAGCAATATTTGCTTCAGAGGGATTCATTCTTGTCCCAGATGATCTATAAGAAACGAGGAAGTCAATGCATTTGGCTGTTGTAGACTTAGATGATACCCTTCTGCCATTAGACGACTCGAAAATTGTGTCATAGAACTTTCATAAACTATTAAAATCAGAGGCTCCTTTTTGTTGTTTTAGTATTTGGTATTTTAAAGAGCTTAATCCGATATCAGCAATCCTAATGCACAATAAATCAAACTCTCAGTTGAAGAAGCATGACTATTTCTACCTAAGTTATAATTCTCCTTGGCTTGGAGTGGTTGGCTGGAATGTATCACACCTGCCTCCTGATAGACACACCATATCCTGCCTTGCCAGAGAATTGAATGCACCTGCAGCTCACTTGCTAATTGCCTGAAGCAGATACAATGACGCTGTGAGTGATCAGTCATTCGTGAGATTGTGCTTGCTCTCTGCTGAATGGCATAGATGCAGCTTGGTTTTCAGGTTCTGGTTCCTGCCTTTTCCCCGTCCCTGGCCCAATTTCGGACTTACAATCCGCGGATTACGTCTTGGACCTGTAGTCCTTGATTGTAAAAATAAATCTGCACTTCGCTGGATCAGGGGATTTGTTGGTTACAGATTTTGCTTGTTGTTACTGGATTGAAAGTAACCGCTCCTTTGGGACCCCAAAATGTTGGAGTAGGAGAGGCGGAGGTGGAGGGTATTACTTCCAGCAAGACCTGTGGCATGCGCGTCTGATTTTTGGGAATCAAATGAATATTTAAAAACTCTTTTGTGAGGGCCATTGGGATAATCACTTTGTAAGCATTTATTTAAAAAAACAGCTGGACTGGAAGCTGTCAAATTCAAAACATAACATTTTTAAAAAGCCAACAACTCTGCACTCTGAAACAAAAGCTTGCGTTTCTGCCATTATCTAAAAAAAAAAAAAATGTGTCTGATACCCTAAGTTGAGAGTAATCAGGTGTAAAACAACTCTTCTTCATAGAAGTGCTGCATTTTTGTTTCTTTATTCTTGAAGTGGAAAAATAAGAAAATATCAGTAAAAGTCTCAGTGTTACAGCTTGGTAACTGGATTAAGGCTCCAGCTACTTACAATATTCAAATGGCTCCAAATTGTGCACTGTTTACATGCGAACCTTTGGTGTGCTTCTGAATGTTTTTCACACCGCTAACTATATTTGATCAAATAGGAATTATTTCAGTGTACACCTGGACTCAATGAGTCGGTCATTAAACTAATGTTCTGCATAAATCAGAAGTCTACTTACTGTCAGACAGCATTAGCAAAATAGAAAAACAGCAGCCATTTTAGCTTGTTGAATTCCTTATATAAATGCACTATAAATAGCTGGGTTATTATCACTATAAATTATTGAATAATTTAAGCGGAGTTTAAATCTTCTTCAGTGATTGGTTGTAACTCCTAAATTTGAATAGGGATACGGAGCAGAAAGGTAAAATGAATGAGATGTATTATTCATATATATAGCCAGTATGCACTGTGTCATTATTCATACGTTCCAGCTATTTACCATATTGTGTCATTATGGGAGCTGGGCTATGTACATTTCCATGCATTTATAGCCCTGTCCATTATGTATGTTGCCCTCTGCTCCTAGATATACACGGTTTCACCCCCCATACTTGCATATGGATGGGATGACAATAAAGATGATTTGAACATAGCACAATAATTTGGCTTTTTTAGCATTTAATAATAGTACTAAGATAATGAATTACATTTAATAGCAAAATTATCCCTAGAGAATAATGAGAATAAAGTACAAACATTCATGTTTTAATTTTCAAAGCATAATGCACGTAAAATGTGAGAGTACTCCAAGTGTTTATTACTAACAGATGCTTGTGTTCAAAACATTCCAGATACCTTGTAATAATATAATACTTTTGCAATTCTAGCAGTTACTTAGCTGATTTACCTCAAGGATGCCACAGCAATAACTTCCTTCCAAGACCATTTAGACATATAGAAAACACGTTGAAGAATAAGGCCACAGCCTGCCCTGCTATATCAGCTAATAGATTCTGTTCATTATCTATGTGCAAAATATACGTTTTTGTGTGTGTGTGTGTGCGTGTGTGTATATATATATCAGGTGTAAAAACGCACACCCATACATACTCCGGTATATTGACTTTCATTTACCCCATCTCTTGCAAGGTCACTTCCTCCCTAGACAAATTTGGCACTGCAGAATGTAGGTTTTAGGTCAAAAACCAAAAGCAATGAATCTCCTGCTTTACTGGGGTTGTCATTTAAGAAATTCCTAGTGGATGGTGCTGTACCTTCAGTTCAGGTCAACGTGAAGGTGTTCTGAGGAGTCACTGAACGTTTCACGCGTGACTCCATTAGTGAACGTCTTTGACTTTCACATTCCTGCTTTGATAGCTCAGACAAGCCCGGTCGTGCAGTGCATGTACTTACATGGATCATAAGAAGAAATGTGTTCATTAAAGAAACTGCTATGCTGTACCTTACATTAATCTAGAAGGAAAAAAAAGCAACATTTCTACTAACACTGGGGAAATGTCTCAGAAAATCTTTTCATGTGGATTATTAATTGCCTGCATTTAGCACTAGCTTAAGTACCACGAAATACAACAGACCGTACAGAGTATTAATGAATGTGCGTATAGACTGTCCACGCACCTGCAGGACCGTAGAGCAGATATGTGCAGCTCGTTGAGCTGCTGGAGTCCAACCAGCAGAGGGCTGCCCTCATCTCCCTCTGGCTCGGGAGACTCGCTGGCTCCTTGCCACCGCACAGTGGGCTACAGTGCCGCCTGAATGCTGATGTGTCACTCTCCAGCACAAGACTCTTTATCGAAGTAACCTTGTTAAGGCCCCGAAGTTCATTGCACTTGGCTGGCTCTCTCTCCCCATTTTGGTTATCCCCCTCCCCCTGCCCCTTTCCTGCCATCCTTTTCCTGCGAGGCACAGAAGCGTGTATCAATCCGTTTCTTTTTCTTTTCTTTTTTTTAAGTAAGCTTAGCTTGAGCTTTGAAGTCAGGAGGATTGTGTGTTTTTGTGTGCTAGACTGAAACTCTACACAGGATGAGGCATACAGCATGAAGTTCATTGTTCTGGACAGATGTTGATTACTTATGTACGGTCATGTTTCGCTGGTTCGAGTGTGACTCTAGAACTATCCCCTTGCTCTAGTTTTTACTTTTTAAGTAAGAAAAAACTTGAGCAGGCCTGTGCTAATGAAGGTCATATATTAATTCCTGTTGAAACAACAAAAGCCTTTTCTGGCCTAACAGATGTCCATCCACTTTCAGCACATATTCTGCTCACACTGAAGTATGCAAATGAGAAAATTTGTTTGTAATGTTTGCCTACTCACCTCTTATTTACTCTTGAAGAATTAGATGTGAATTATTTATATTATCACACATACTATAACGCACTATATGATAGACATTATAGCTTTATAATATCTTGAAAGCCATTTGTCATGCTTTTTCTTGTGTGACATGCATTCTTCTCCTTGGGTGAGGTTTATCTTTGATTTCTTGTATTTCAATTATCTACCATAACCAAAAGGCATTTCTCTTATCATTGCTTTATGCTCTGGAACAATAAGGAAGTTTGTTTAAATGAGTGCTGAAGATATCACAAAATGTTAATATAAACATTAGATTTACAAGGACAGATATATTTTCTATAGAGTATGCTACTATAAAAGTCTCCAAGGGGATTCCGTACCATGTTCACATTTATTGGTATTGATTCCTGCAATAATCAACCTTCTCCATTTTTTAAAAACAACACTAGTTCAGAATCCCAGTGTTACATGTAATTGTATGTTAAGCAGGACATGTAAGGTACAATAATGAAAATGCCTATATGTTCAAGACTTCTGCACCTTATTTGAGCAAACTGTGGCTTGCCTTGCAGTACTGTGGGTTGGGATTATCACCGTGGGCACAGATATTTTTAAATCTTCCACTCCTCTGCTCACCGCTCACTTTGGAAGAAAGTCAGAGCACATCAAGTCTTTTTTGCCGTGGGTTTCTATATTTGCACAATAACGAGGCTATACATCGCTTCCTACCCACAGAGGACCACACTTCAATCCAATTAGCCGGCTGCGGTTACCTGTAACTTCGCTGGCCAGTACTTTACAGCTTGACACATTAAGACAGTCTTCAGACATTTATGCAAATTGAAGGAACTGCAAACATAGGTAAACTTGTGTGTGTGTGTTTTTTGGACACCAATTAAAACAAACTACCACTGGTTCACAAGGAGTGCTCAAGCAGATGGCGAGTCTCATGCCAAACATACTGCCTTTATGCATTACATTAATAACATCTTATTCAGTGTTCTATTATTAAACTTAATTGAACATCTCACATATAAGTCACTGTGATTTAGACATACCTGTGCTTTGCACCAAAAAACAATGATACTAGAAGGTCTTTGTGTTCATTTCACTACAGTAACACTGCTTTTCAGCGTTTGACATTAAAATATGTCCCTGCTTAAATGAATAGTTTTTGTATACCTAACTAGACTACCCTTCACCAATTATAATGTAATTAAAGCCATCACCCTCGGAACTTAATGAAGCTGCAGAGCACCACTCATATATTAATCAAGACAAAGTCCAAATAAAAAGTAAACAAGTATGACTTGTATGGCAATGGTTTGGTATGAAGACAAGTCAGGAGTATTAAACAATAGAAGTAAAAATGTATGCAAGCCAATTAATTCTGAGTTCTTAGAAGTCTCTGTGGGACCTATCCACAGTGTGTTTAATTTACTGGTTATTTTTGCGGTCAGCTGATTTTCCTAAGGAGGAGAGATAAGAGTGGATGTTTGGGGTTACTGTATATACTGAGTTTTAAGAAGCAAAGAGTTCTTTTGTTTTGTGCCATAATTCAGGTACCTGGATTGTCATGTATGTGGCTGCTGTCTTCCACAATATGCATTTTCTCCCACTAAGCTGTAGCTCTCAAAGTTTGTTGTGAGAATGCAGCTGTACACGTTATGCCATAACATATGACGAATACTCCGAAGCTTGTATTGGGTAAAGACTATTATAAAGGCATGTGGGGCTATTCAGCTTTAAACCATGACTTGATGTCTTTACAGTGTCAGGAGCCCATTGAGGGCTTCATGAACAGCCTGGTAGATTATAAGGATATGCATCTGAACAGTGCCGTCAGGTAATAATGATCAACTGCTGATTGCTTCTGCGGGAGACATGAGAATGTATATCTGAATAAAACAGGATTCAGAAAGGATATTTATCATAATGTCTGAATAATCCTTAATCCCTTGCCCCTCGTCTGCTTAAACTTCCAAATGAAAAACAGGACATTGTTCTGAAGAATAAAAGCCAATGTGCATTAGACATGCACCAAATGATCAGATAAAATCATTTTGTACTGGAATAGTAACATAACAGATTCAGCAAAAACTAAATAATTAATCAACATCTTGCAATGTATTGCAGAAGGGATATTTCATCCTGTGAAAATGCTTGCGGACTCCATCACTGCTAGCAGTGAGCTCGTGTATTAAATACAGAGCTGTGGGGGTATTCTGTTGGCTTGTGTTGTATTCCTTTGTCGAGATTTCTTTTTATCGGCGAGATGACGTGTGGGCCCAAGGGCTTTTTTAAAAAGCTACCCGGCTGGAAACAAACCGCACAAATATCTGCCACCCTTGCAATTAACTATCCTTTAATATTACTACTTCGAATACGAGAAGACAGGATCTCAAAGGGTCTCTGAGTCAACGTCAAGGGGCACTTCCAGCTGCCATATCAGCACCCTTATCTTATGTAAATGTTCTGGGACTTTGGTGTGACTTCAGTGGACTACAAAGAAGAAAATGCACAGCACAAAAAACTAGGATAGTTTCCCTAAGGGTATTTTGCTCGAAATATCTGCATTCCTTTGATTTACAAATTAAGAGTCTCTTAATCTTCTCCCTCTTTTCAGCAGTCACTTGTGTCATTTATTTATATGGAGCCATAATAAGTGAACTTAATTGCTCTAATCTCACTGAAACACTACAGGCAAAGACTGTTGTGTTTGTAACTTAAAAACAGCTTGTGTAAACTCTGTAGCATGCCCAGAGACAGAGGAAGATCACAACAGTGTTGGTAAGAGACATTAATTCACCAATCAGGCAAATAAGGAGCCCCGGGAAGTAATGAAATTCATACTGAAATTTAAAATGTTTATTGAAGCATCAGGCCCTTTCAGAAGCCCCTACCCAAAATGTTTGCATCTAACTGAAATGCCCCTTGATGTGATATAAAAGACCTGAACATTTAGTGCGGCTGTAGAGTGAACAAACACACCATGCTTTCAGACACTTTTGTGTTTTTTTAGCCTCATTGTAAAACTACTTTACATTTCAGTCATGAGAGACGATGAATAACACATGAAGACTGAATGCTTTGAAAGATGATCAATATGTATTTTTTTCTTTTCATTTTGGCAATACAAAGGCTACTTAAATCATACATCGCATAAACACTCTCAAAAAATGTTTCATCATATCTATGTCTATCGATTCACTTCTTTGGATTTTGTCATTTGCTTGATCATCCTCACGGAGTTTGATAAGTAAGTTTTTCTTCACGCTGAGCTCCCTCGTGGGCAGTTTTCCGTCCATGTCCATGCACTGTATTAGTTTCTCTCCAGTTCCAGTCATTTTCGCACCCCTGTCCCAAAATAATTTCTGCTGACGTCACTGCATCGCAGTAACGCTGCATCTCTCCTAAACTGGATGTGTCTGAGCCTGGCACATGTCACATTCATGGTGACAAATGTCCTTTAAAGACAGACAAGAAATCTTGGCTTTCAATCATTTAATTGACTTTAACTGTCAGTCTTATTTATCTTCTATGCCAGAAAAGTGTTTGAAATAATCTCTGAATTGTCATGCCATTTAACATCACACCTTTCCAGTACCATCTCCAGCCCTCCTCCGTATTGTCTGAGTGCTGTGACACTTTGCTTCCCTTCCTTTTCTCTTTTAGTAGATGCATCACTTTAATCTTCCCCCAGTATCCAATGGGGAGCTAAGTAAGAAAATTAAGGCCCGGTGTCTAATCCACATGGCGTGACCCAGGAAGTGGCCAGAACGCTCCAGCTTAAAGCTTATACTCCACAGTTTTTTTACTGAGTGGCCTAAAAGACTTAACAAGTAGGTCAGCTGCTTTTTAGAATTCCCATTGTACCTCTCGGGCTCTTGTTGTCCCATAAAATGTAACAGAAACATGCAGTATGTGCGCTGTAGTATTTTTATACAAAAGAACTCATCCACGTCTTCTCCCAAAATGATTTGGTACCTGGTTTGACTTGGATAAGAGAGTCTGTTAGTTGGCAAAGATGCATAGCATTTCTCTGCATCTAAACATAAGGCAGAAAGAAAACAAAATCATAAATGAATGATCCTGACTGGTATTGCGAATCCTTTCTTTGAGTAGTCTTTCATTTAGATGCTTTGCAATAAAACCTCAAATGAAAACCCCAGTGAAAAAAGTCAAGTTAATCTGGCTCCCAGTTCCCTTTAAGTAACTGCAAAATGAAATTGTACCAAAACTACAAAGGGCTATTGTCAAATGATATCTCTTTTAACAAGGGACTGTTATTGGATTTCATAAGCGATGCATGTGGCGTTCCCCTCAGTTTCAAGTGAACCTTTAACTGAGCCTGGCCTGCTGCAACAGCTTGGCTATTTCTGATTACAGTCGTTAGTCTATGCACCCTAAGTAAGAGTTGACACAGCAACAAAAATGTAAATTATAAGGAAACACTATGAATGTACACAACATTTTCCAAT